TAACAACCGTTCGTTGCCTGGAGACCTGGAACTTGCAGCTTCTCGCAGCTCATTCTGGCGCTGACATGCGGTGCAAAGTGTCGGATGGGTGACAGGCTATTCGTCTACTTTGCTGTTGTGAACGAACGTGGAAATCGAGTGCCACTCTTGGTGGAGTTAGAGACGAAGCAGGTCACTCAACTAGTTCATGAAGCTCTACGCATGATTGGTTTTCGGGCCCTTGTGCAGGGTCTGAAACCTGATTCAAACTTGCAATTCAGATGTTCCGCAGAATCCGCAGAACTGCTTACAGTGTTTGCAAAAATCATCACAGTGTTCACTACAGCCTCGAGGGAGCGACACTCTGTCCGCAGTCTGCAGGCCTGCAGGCAGGGCCGCAGGGCTTGCAAGGCTTGCAACCCTCCGTTTCGGTACAACAACTTCACGCACCTCGCGAATGCCGATGGGGTCGGATGTCGAATCCTTTCGCAATATGCACAAAGGTCCCTACGAGAATCTCTACTTGTTGATGTTTGAAGACCAACAGAGGTCTTGCATCCAACGCATTGCAGTTCGTGCCTCAGCAGCTGCTTCGCTGGCAATCTGCAAGGCATACTCCAAGTCCTCCACCCTAACCTGGCATCGCAAAGAAGCAAGGGACAGTGTAAGCAAGTAATGCACAATCTCCCCAGACAGGGCAGGATGGCCGAAAATTCTGCAAGTTCAGCTCTTGAACCGTTCAGCTCTTCTGCCACCTGTTGTTTGCAACATGATGTTGGTAAGAACCTGTCCTTTTCGAAGTGACCCTTCGCCAGCAACTTAGGCCTTTGATGCAACCAGTTCCTCTGCCGCAAGTTTCTCCTCTGCCTGAGGGCGTGAGTAGCACAGACCAAACAACGACCAAAGCCCTTCTCTGCCTCCAGGAAGGGAAGCTACTAGGAACAAGTGCCTCGCTAGAACAAGTGCCTTACTAGTAGTAGCAAGAAGCTACTAGAAACAAGGGCATCGCTACTAGGAACAAGAAGCT